TAAGTGGAGCTGATAAAATGGACAATGAGCAGGGAAACAAGGAGGTGGTCATAATGTTATGCCTGATCGGTGTAGAACACTGTACACACATTGACTCTGTAGGATGGTATGACTGACCGCACTAAGTTGCTTCAGGTAGGAGCTTATTTTGAAGAAAATTAAAAGCTTCACAACACAGACAGATTTGACAAAAATTAACAGAACACAGTGCAGCAAGTCAGCCTTGTAATGGAAATGAAGCAGCTGTGCTCCAGACGCCAAGGGACGGGCAGCATCTTGTAAATGCATACGTAAGCTCACAGGCCACGCTTGTTTGGACATCGGAGCGATATTGATTCGAATGAAGGAGGAAAGGGGGAAAAGACAACCTTTAGCCTTCGAAGGGCTAGTGTGCCACAGAATCGCTGACTTGAACTCGCAATATTCACACATGGCTGAAGCCACTTGTCAGGGATGTCTGCGATAGTGGAGAACGGCCGGGGTGACCTTCAGCTCGCAGATGAGATGACAGAATAAAAGAGATACGAGAGCCTCATAAGCAAAAGCCCCGGCACCCACGCTGCCTTTAATAGGCTCTTATTAGCCGCTGAATGGGAATTTCATTACAGTAGGACGACAGAGCCCCGGTCGTTCACACTTCTAAATGTCAACGGTTCAACCAGTGGAGAGCGGGTGCCTAATGGATTTCCGCTGTGGACTTGCCGAAGGGATTTTCATGTAGAACCCTTTCAATAATATTCCTGCCCTTGCTCTAAAACCATAAGCAGTGCGCTTTGATTGCCGATCCATACTTCCTGCCCTGTGCTCTCTCGGGGGGAGGGGAGGACACTCCAAGAAGACTTTCATTTTTATGAGCTGGAGAAGCATGGCTGAGTTAGGCTGGCAGCAGGAATAACACTGTGACCCTGATGTTGGTTAAACGGACGAGGAGGCAGCAGGCAGACAAAGGGCAGGACACCTCTGTGGTTCCTGCCTGCTCGGAACTGACCTGCCAGGTTATCGCTGTGCATCTTCTCCCCCCACACATCCCGGGTGAGGTTCAGAGAGGTCACGTCTCTGGAGAACACAGAGAGCTTAGGAGAGAATGAGAATGAACGAGGAGAACCGGGCTAGACACAAGGTCAAAATGGATATAGAAATCCCCATTAGGATATGAAAAGCTGGTGGAAAATGGAGAGCGCTTCCCGTGTCAGAGGGGATGATTGCTTCGTGCTTCACTCGTGTGAGATGAAAACCGCCAGGACTCTGGAAACACCAAGAACCAGTGTATTAAAGGGATGCCTCCCTTTAATACGCACAGCTTGACTGTAAATGACAATGTTCTGTTTAAAGAAACAAAACTAGGTAAAATTCAATGGCTTGTCTGAAAAACTGTTAAATCAAGAATTAAATCAGACAGAAGTATCTCTCAAAGTACCCTTTCAAACACAAGTATTTGAATCATAAGCTCAATAAAAATAAAAAAAAATAAAATAAAAAATAATAAGAATTAAAAATGAGAACATAAATGTAAGCAAGTGCTCTCAGTTTTATTCTCCAGGGTATATTTTGGTTTTTCCATCTGAGTTTACATGACCAAATCGTAAGGCAAAATATTCAGTAACTGCATAAAATAAATGGTAATTTGTATTTATTTATTTTGTAAAAGCTCCTATCAAATTAACAGAACATGTGTTTTATGATCACACATATTGCTATATGCTTACACTTCACTGCTGAAAGCCAAAAAGTAATTTGTGGAAAAATGGGTCGACTTTCAGTAGACAAAAAAAATTGTGAGTTCAGCTTCTTTTATTATAAGGGTTTAAAATTACATCACCCATCTATTTGACTGGAAAGAAGACAGTTACAGCTCTCATATGACCCCCACTTTTTGAATGTAGCTTATGAAATATGAAAGTTATGAAGAATATGACGAAGTGCGTTTTGGAGTCACTGGTGGTCTCAAGGAGTTGAAGAGGTTAACACACACATTTGAGGATTTGGAGTATCTGATCTTGAACAACCGTTGTATAACGCACCCCATTCACTTTTTCATCAGATAATACACCACTCTCTGTATTATTACATAATTTAGCTGACACCTTTACCCAAATTGAATTACAGATGTCACTTGCAGGGACAGTCACCCAGGAGTGGCTTTGTATTAAGTGCCTTGCTGAAGGGCACAATGGCTGTAATAGTTTGGTTCATAGCCAAGTTCTCTCAACACTGGACTATCACCACTTCCATCTGACTGGCAAATACAGGAGTATATATATGCACTGCAATGTTTACTATATGTTTGCCATTTTATTATTTAGACAGGCTGTCAGACCGGTGGAATGAATATATATAAAACCTAAAGAAATGAAAATAATAAACTTTTTATGATTTCAGTCATAATATATGGAAATGATTTCAGTAGATTATTTCAGTAGCAGACCACAGAAATGCATAGTAGGTGACATGGCTTGAAATTTACACCAAGAGGACAATCATATGGAATCTTCAGGAAAACAGCAAGTTTATGAGCAGTTAGTAAGCTGATATCAAACATGATAAATTTGTTAAATTAAGTTTTATTGAATTTATGAGTAGAGCTCGATATTAGGCTTCACTTTTCTGCAATGCTACTACTGTGGTATAGTTGTGCTTTGTATTATTAATTATGTGATGTGACATTTCTCGTTCAGTGTGCAGTAAGCTTTCGATAACTGCAGTAGTTTTCCTTCTTTGGACAAAACAGATAAACTCTGATCAAAACATCTCATGGCTCTTTCATACAAGCACATGTAATGTTGTGTAATGTTAGAGAGAGGCTAAACTGCTTATCAAAATTTTAATTTCATATTCAAATTTTAAAACTTTCATGACTATTTGAACTATTTGACACATCCCCTGTAAGTCAATCAATCAACCTTTATTTGAACTTGGAGTAGATCGAGGGTGACCACTTATTTACAATGTAGCCGAGCCTTATATGACAAGAGCAAGGGACTGAAAAGAGTAAATAAATGTTTGTGATAGTCAGTATAATCAAAGAAAATAAAATGATCAATAACTTTTTTATTAAAACACTACATATAAATCAAAATTAGGACATGAATTAGGAAAAGTGAATTTGTAAACAAAAATCTTAATTATTAAGTATTATGTCACTGGCTTAAAACTGCTTTAGGGTACCACAGTACAAGGTTTAGACAAAATCACACCTACAGAGAAATAAATTTAGCATTTAAAAAAAAGGTGACAGCTAGTTGGCATCACAGCCATCTTGAGATTCAGGCTTCTGACTTACCTGAAGATCCTAAAGGGATATGTTAGGTTCATCACCTGAATCTCCAGGGTATGAACCCAGAGCTGTTGGCAGGTGTGAACAGGGTGTGAATGAGTACTTTCCCCACTCTAACTGCCATGACTTCAGCACTCTATCTGTTCCAAGTACAGCTAACCTTCTAATACCCCATTCCCCCCTTTTATATATGCACACACACACACACACACACACACACACACACATATAGACGTATACACACTTGTCTAACTACAGTATTGTATAAGATGTAAATATATATATATATATATATATATATGACTGCGCAAAAGACCACTGTTCATTTAATTAATTTATAGTCAAAATGGCCATTACATCATTCATTTTTCTGAAAGATATTCCTGAGGAGATTAGACAAGAAAATCCTTTTGCTTAAATGAAGCGAAATGAGGGGAAAAACAGGAGTTTCCAAAAGTGGTTTTCAACCGATACAGAGAAAATGGGACTCCCGACAACCGTGCAAGATCTGATAGACACCAAAACTGTCAGCATCAGATAAACAGCACTTAAAAGCTTTCATCTTTGAGAGAGAGCAGAAACAAGCGCCACTTCAGATCTGAAAAAATGTACAAGTTTTTCTGCCCATCCTTCCACTGTGAGAAGACAACCGAGCACTAAGGTCTTAAGGGTGTGAAGCTGTCAAGAAGCTCTTAGTGAGTAATGGAAATAGACAAAAAGGAAGAAAATCTGCAATTAAAATAAAGAAGCTGTGGACTTCACAGCCCAGAGTCCAGTCCTCAACATCACTGAATGTGTTTGGGATTATTTGGACCGTGAGAAGCAGAAAATGCAACCAACTTCTAAGACTGAACTTTGAAGGGGTGGAAAAATTTCTCTACAGATTTCTTTGAAAAATTGAAAGCAAGTCTCCAGAAAAGAATGAAAGCAAAAGTAAAGGCAAAATGTGACACACTGAATACTGAGTTTTGATATTATATTATATATTGATATTATAGGTGAAGAAGCTTCTGTGTAATTATCCTTTACATTTATGTTTTTATGTCTTTAAATTTATGTTTTTCCCTCCAAACACCGAAGAATTTACTTAATCTTGTACTTATTGGGCATTCTGACTGGAAAGTTTGGCTTCTGACTTTTGCATAGTACTGCACTATATACACTAATTATCATTCACATGACATATACCACTATATGTAAATATGCATTCGATTGAACTATCATTAACATGATGACAGAGGTGTCTTACAGCTAACAGCTTACACATTACTGGGAAAGATTGCAAGCATGCAATGTAAAGCAGTGAAGATATCTTTCGACATCGCAGGGTGCTTAACTTATCCAATATCTGTGATGTTTTAATAACAGCTCCACATTGTGTACCCTGCAGTACAGCAATTTGCACGCAATGAGCTGTCAGTATGTGCATGTGAATTTCTCAGACACTCCTCCTCAGTGTTTGTAGTGGTTACAATACATCCTGAGAACACTGCAGCTAAACCTTCTCTGATCCCCTGGGCAGTCCCTCGGCAGTATCTTACATTAACAGATGGGGCTCACAAAGCTCTCAGAGCTTGGGTGTGTGTGTGTGTGTGTATGTGTGTGTGCATGTGTACATATTTAGGTGCATCTGAGCAGAGGGAAAAAAAATTGCTTCTAGGACACAGGCAAGCAAATCCAAATGACTACTAGAACCATCAAATGAAAAGACATGGGCAGGACTTACAGATCTTGTGTTTTCCTTTTACGGGGAATTTCACCAGCAGCTCCTGGGGGTTGGTGCAAATGAAGACAAATGGAGAGGCGGACTCCTCGCTGATCTGGGGATACTGCAGAGACAAGGAGAGAGGAAACAATGAGCTGCCTCGGCACAGAAAGCCTTTTCAGCGTCGTAATTGATAGAAAGGACACGAGAGCCTCGAAATTGACTGACACTTTCATGAAAAAGGTGACATCTATCTAATCTGTCAGGGGAATGGCATGGGTCATCTTATTTCCTCCCCACCATCAGTGAGTGCCATGATTGCATCTCAGCAGCCAGGAAGCACAGGGTTTTCACAAACACCTTTTTTTTTTAACCTGTCCCCCTAAAAGAAGGGGGAAAAAGGTTGACACTTTCAAGGTTTTAAAAGCATGGCAACTGCTAGGTATACCTGTAACAGTCCCTCGAATCTGACGGAGGCACTTCCATCAGAACAGGAGGACATCGGGGTCGTCTTATACCCATGTCGTACATAGTTTTACCATTTCAATCATTAACAACATCACTTTATCCAGCTTTGATCTTCTAATTATACTAATTCACTTAGAATTAGAAATGTATTTTTACCTTATTTGACACCAAACTTAAGCAGGTATACAATCTCTTACACAGTAAAAGACATACAAACACTATCAAAGGCAGTCGGAGAGAGAGAGACTGTGATAAAGAGCCGAACCAGGCTGAGTTCTGCGAGGAGCTGACAGAACAAAAAGTCTTTGATGATGTAGTATCATCTAAGGTGAAGTCAAGGGGCAAATGCATTTTTGAGTAATTCAGACTCCAGACACAGCAATCAGGCCAAACACAATCTGATTATTCGAGCATAACAACTCTTAAATTCTTGCGAGTGATGTTTTGATGTCTTGGCTTGTTTTTTGTTCTGTCAGTGTACAGCGTGCATTTTCATATCCCACCACCCGCAGTCTGATTAGATTACTTTTTAGGCTAGTAAGCCTTAAAAAACAAACAACGGAGAGTGAAAAACAAATTGGAGCACGTCAGAATTATTGGCCAGAGTTTACGTGGAAACTGCGTTAGACTATTGCAGCCTTTTATGGCCGAATGCCTCCAAAACCGAGACAAAACTGTATTTTATTCCGCTTGGACGGACACTTCTGATTATTATTATCAGGGACGTTTCCTACATTCTGCATATATTTCTACACTTTTTCTTAGCCTGCAGACAAGCAAGACTCCAGTGTTTGATAAGGTTAATCAAAGATAGCAGAAAATTTGAGGAAAGACAGAACAAAGGTCCGTACTGTGTGCGAGTGTGCGAGTGTGTGTGTGTGTGTGTTTGTGTGTGTGTGTAGGCTAAGGCCTATTTAAAGGGTGACAGACTGCTTGATGGCTCACTGAGAATAATGGAGCATCAGGCTCTAACAACAGAGAGATTGGCTACACCTTTATAGCCTCCGTTTATTGGATTTGGTGGCTCTGCCTTAGTCCCCTCATTTGCAATAAACCATTGACTTGATTGATGCTTCATATTAATCTCAAATCAAAATGCAATTAATGTTCCAGTCTGGATCCAGTCTGAAACCTAACTCTGCAGGACTAAATATTTGGTTTGGGATTCTCAGTATAATAAGGGAAAAAGGCCTCCACAAAGATGAAGCTTGACTAAAGGCTAAATTCTTCTTTAAAGGTTGTCCTTTCCAACCTCCCCTGGATAATTAGGATTTAAGCCCTAATCCCCATCCCCATGTGATTGTTCCAATGTCATGTTAATTGAAAAGGCATGTAATATTCAAATTCAATACAGACACTCTGTAGGGCTGCATGTGAGTAAAACACAATTTTGAGATAGTAACACTACACACTGCAACTGTAACACATCCTGCACTATATTAAAACACAATGGCAAACGTCTGATTTGACATGATTATAGACCCAAGAGACATAAATAATCTTAACTGAAATTATTTATGTCTTTTGGTTACGTAAAAGCCTTGATTTATCAAAACACCCACAGAAAGTCATCTGGAACGTCTCACAATGGTCAGGGCGCTAATAGCACCCAATAAAAAAAAAACTATCTGTAATTTGTCAAAGAAACCTTTTGTGATGTTAATAATACAAAGGCCAATACTGCAATAATGATTAGCAAAGAATGCATTATGCAGCTCTAGGAAAAGATCCAGCAGCTGAACACAACCCAAGAACGACTTCAACTAATATCATTTTCTGCAGCCTTTCTACACTTTCCACATAAGTAGTGGTCACCAGGGTTGGGAGAAACACACATAGTATTACCTAGGGATGCACAGCATCCCTCCCGACACTGACTTCAATACTTGAATTGTAATGAGCACCAATTCAGCATGTTTTTCTTCTTAAATTTAAAACCTATACACCTCATTTAATGTGCAATATACAATTAGTTCAATTGTATATTCAAATAATTTACTTTTTTAAGCAATTTAAGTATTTTTTAATGAGGCACAACACTGGACAATTATTTCATACTCAACCATAGAGGTTGGCAAAATGACAATATTTTATTGTTATCGTGATAAATTCTGTTAATGTGATGAACAACATGCTTTTCTCATCATATCGGGGATGTCATGAGTACTTAGGGTATACTGAACAACTGCATGTTATAAAGACAGCAGAATTAGACCTGTTTAACTAAATTTAGTGCAGCAGAGTTTGAGGAACACTGAATAAAAAGTATTATACCAAGAGTTTTTGATAGCTGGTATTAAATGTGGCACTACTAGTGCATTGTGGTAAGTATTGTGTATCGTGAAATTGTCTTTAAGTATCATGATATATTTTTGCTTTAATGCCCACCCAATTCAACCATATACTTCTAATTCATTTAAGGGCTATTATGTCTGACTGATCGCTGCAGACAACAAAATTATTACCTTTTTATCTCAGGATCACCCAAAACTGACAATTTATTTTTTTGCCTACATTAAATTCATATAAATGTAAAAAATTGTTATTGACAATGCTGATGTGATGTGCAACATTATTTAAAAAGCTCACCTGCTTTTATTGTCAAAGCCATGTCACGCTTTTATTTTGACATGTGTGAGCACTGATTCTTAAATGTTCAAATATCTGTTCTGTTATTTAATCATTAATACTTTTAGAGCATTAGTGAACTAATTGGATGCCAAAATATGTTGTTTTGTTAGTCCACAAGACAGGGCTTAGAAGTGTTCACTATTTTTCTAACTGTATATTGTGAATATTGTATATTCTCATTGATATTTTATGCTTTAAAGTTCACCTGATTGATTAGGGACACTGAAAGTGGTCAGCCATGTGTTTTACTGAGGTATAAATATGAGGTGACACACAGGCCAAATTACCTCAGACACCCATCACTAGAAGGAAGACCCAAATACAGAGCAATAATGTATGACAAAAGGTTGTTGAGCTGCACAAATCAGAAACTGGCTACAGGAAAATAGCTAACAGCTAAAACTTCCCATTTCTATTATGGCAAAGTTGTTTGGGAGGGTTGCCAGAACAAAGCCACTGCTATCAAGGACCAACAAACTCAAGCGCTTACAGTTTTGCCAGACATTACTGGAACTTTCAGTGGGACCACGTTCTATATCAGATCGAACCAAAATAGAGCTCTTTGACAACAAACGCCAGAGGTGGATTTGGGTAGACACTAAGAAAGCAATGCAGAAAAATACCTAATTGAGTCAAGTATGGTGGTGGATCTGTGATTTTGTGGGGCACTTTTTCTTCCAAAGGCCCTGGACAACTTGTTTAGATACATGGCATCATGGTCTCCATCAAGTACCAGCAGACAATAAATCCAAACCTGACTGCCTCAGCCAGGAAACTGGGCCATGGCTGGATCTTCCAACAGGACAATGATCCAAAACACATCTCAAAATCAACATAAAAACTGTCCACCGACTACAGAATCAAGGTTTTGCCATGATCATTCCAGTCCCTCGACCTAAACCTCATAGAAAACCTGTGGGATGAGCTGTAGAGGCGAGTGTGGATCTCGGAAACAGAGGGATCTAGAGAGATCCTGTATAAAGGAATGGTCTCAGATCCCTTGACGTGTTCTCCAGTCTCATTAAGCGTTCTAGAAGAAGACTCAGAGCTGTTATATTTGCAATGGCAGGCTGCACCAAGTATTAAATGAAGTGGTGTCAACAATTATGACACACATAGATTAATGTCATGATAAAATTTAGATTTTTCGGTCAAATTACTGTATTTTATTAAAGATTTTTGTTCATATTTTGAATTAATAATCAAAAGGTTAAGCAGCAAAGGATCTTTTTTCAGCCGTTTTGCTAACGTTTACCAGGCGTGCCAATATTTGCAGAGGGTTCTGTATATCAACTATTTATATTTGTCTTAAAAACACATTTCAAGCATTTAAGCATAAGGCCAGAAACATAAAGCAAGTATGAAGACATACATTCTTACAATACTGTGATACTCGCTGTTGTGTGCAAAATCTGAGCGGTAGCGTCCATGTAGGAGGAAGAGAGAATATTGCTTAGTCTAATTCGCACTTCTGCTTTCTACCAGCAAATACAATGAGAAAATACAATAAACAAAATGTAATCTTAACAAAACAGTTCTCTTCTGGAAGCAGTCATAAGTAATAAATTGTGATATATTTAATCACATTAAGACATACTGTAATATTTAGCAGATCACAAGTCTTCAAAAAAAGGTCCCATATCCTACATTTCAACTTTTTTGTGGTTTTGAGGTTTTACAACGTTTCTGTGGTTTCCTGCACCAAAATCACACTTTATTCACACTTTCAGTCACACCTTTTTCATTTCTACATGACCGTTTTCCAACCTCTCTTTATCCTTTAGAGTTAAGCAGGCTGTTCTTGTTACTGTACCTTTAAGACCAATGTATGTAAATGACTTCTGTTCTGATTGGCTGCCCTACATTGTGCCTCACTGAAAAAGCAGGCCAGACTATAGCACTCCTAATAACTTCAACATGAATAGCTGGGTCTAAACCGCTGTAGGCTGAATGGGCAGATATATGGGTTCTTTTTTTTTTTTTAAACTCACAAAAGCAGTAAATCCAAAAAATTCACTGTTTTTT